GGCATTGTTTTTTGAGGTCTGGTTGTCATCATAAGTAAAATACTTTTATTGGTCATCATGATTTTTTGCCTTGGCGATGCAATGTCTAGTTTGGAATTAAGGTGTGGTTGATTGATTTATTATTCTGTACGTGTACTGCTTCAAATGAATGTGTCATTTTTGAAGTTACTTTTAGATACTAAAATCTCTAGCCCTCTGCAGTCATACTATCTTACTGCATCTTACTATCATACTATGTAAACAGTGCCTTAAAAGGAGGTGTACATTCATTGCAGCGTGTGTAATGCTACTTATCTCCATTGAAGTATCATGAGTTTGAAAAAAGAATGAATAGTAATGCTTCTAAAAGTTAATTCCAACTCAATGTTTTTCATCTAATGCCAGAGCAGTCCGTAATGACATGCAGATGCAGTTGACAAATACATTAGCTGTGAAGCATCTATTATTTTCAGTATTTTAAGGATGCATTATCATCCTAATATCTCCTTTTACCAAGTGCAGGCTTATGATGCACATGAGGAAATGCAAATGCCTGATTCTGAAACAGATCAGGCCAAGTTATTGCTTGAGCTGCAAAAAGAGAACCGCGAATTGAGAATGCGTTTGGCTCATCAGCAGCAAAAGCTGATTACAATCCAGAAGGAAAATTTGGCTGCAAACTCTTCTCCTGCCCCATCAATAGTTTCCTCTATCTTATCACCAGCACCTTCTTCTGCTCAGCTAAATGAAAAACGGAAAGCAAGACCCTCTTTCTTGGCTGGAAATTGTTTTACCCCAGAATCAAAGAGAAAAGGTGCAGATGACCCAGTTAGGGATCTAAAAAAGGTAGTTAAGGGATTGGAGGCAGAAATTGAGAGACTGAAAAAGGATCATGTACTGCAGATAAAGCAGAAAGATGATACGATCCGTGAGTTGTCACGAAAGAGTGCAAAACCAGCAGGAGGGACACAAGTGGGTGGTGTAAAAAGGATTGTTACAAGGGCAAGCTTGCGGCCAAGGGAACCACATGATGTTCATTTGAAGAGTCCAAGTCATCGGTTTCATTCTCCAGCTCCCACGGCAAAAAAACGCAGCTTCTGGGATATAACAACAGCTAACAGTCCATCAGTTGTCACTTTAAATGGTAGAAAGACCAGAAGCCATGTTAATACTGAAACAGTAGCAGCTCCATCCATGCTTCTCCAGGTACATTCGATATTTTCTACTTTCATTTCACATGGCATTTATTTTGTCAAGTTTTTGGCTATCCATGCATGCTTCTTCAAGTATATTTTCATATCTTCTTCTACATTCACTTCACCTGGCTGAATAGTTCATCAACTCTTTACTCATGTGTTAGATATGAACTTTTGTAAGTGAACAATTGAACAATGGTCCTAATAATAGATTTTAAATTTTAGCTTACTAGAAAAAGATTAGATGTTTCTTGAAAATCCATCACCATACAACATCAAAAACAGATACAACTACTCCTCAATCCCAAATCAAGTGAAGTTGACTTTATGAATCCTCACCGTCCATGTCACTCCATTTAAGTCCGTCTCAGTGCAATAGTATAAAAACATTAGTCTCTCTGGCACAAGAAGTTTATCTACATTTTTCACTGGCACAACAACCAACTTCATAATCATGCTTTAAAAGTGTACCTTTGAGTTTCTTTCTTCTGCAAACTGATGCAGCTTGCATCTCCATGTTTCTGGTTTGTGTTCATGTTTGGGCCGCATGTATTCAATTGCACCACTCAGCCAGGATTTGCTCGCCAGAATGTAAAGCACTAAGGAAAGCAGATCACTTGGCGATTCCAGTCTAGCTAGCGGCGGTTCACAATCAAGCTTATCATTTGTCACACCGGAGCAAGGCAATGGAGGAGCACTCATTCACTAGTATTAGACAACAGACTAACTGTCTAACAGTGATTAAATCTCTAGTTGTTTATGACTTCTCTTTGTCTTTTTTCTTCCAGATTACTTGGGCTTATTGAAGTCATGTTATTAATATTATTTCATTGTTTTTTCTGTTATGAAAATTTTGAATTGCTTCAAGTTTCTGTATATTAGTGTGCTTTTGGACACATGTTGTTGAATGATGAATTTTCACAAAATTGGAACAGCACTAGTCAAGAAAGTTTTAAATAGGCAAAAAGTAAGAAAAAAGAGCTTCACACCAGGATTTAACTGATAAAAAATCCTGGTATTCTTTCAAAGCAACTACATATCTGTTCTAAATACTTTCTCAGAGTTTAAGCAGTCAAAGAAATATGGAGAAGTTCTGTTTGGACGTGAAAGAAGAAAAAGGTAACTTAAGCTCCATTTTTTATTTTTTTTCTTTGTCTATGACTCATTTTTCCTTGTTTTGGAGCACTAATTAGTAAAGTAAGGGTATACCTGGGTCGGGAACAACTTCTTACTAGTCGGAGCTAATCGCAATCGCTGAAATAGAGCTTAGTCTCTCCACAATAGTCTACTGATTTTTGAGTTATTTTGCTCATTAGAGGGCATATTTGAACGATTTGGGCATTTTAAAACCAAAGAGGTAATATATGGTAAACTGTCTCAATTTGAATAGTTCAAAAGTATATTTAAACACATCATCGAAGACAAAATGATAAGATTTAAATGAACGTTAGAAAATTAGCTGGAAACGATAAGACTTAAATGAATCAAACGCTAGAAAATTATCCAGCTAAATATAGGCTACCAAGTGTAAGCCTAATCAGAAGTTGGTTAACCCATTGAAATTGACATCACTATGAATGTTGTTTCCTGTTTATTCTTTTCTTTTTAGAGAAAAATAGTGTTGTATTTGGATCAAACTCGGGCATATTTTGATTATTTCATCTGTACTTATTACCCCGCATCAACAAAGATATAAGGCAACTTCCATATATGAGATGACATTGACTTCATTACGAATGTTGTTTTGTTTCTTATTACCTTGCGTCAACAAAAGGTATAAGATAACTCTGTCACTAAAATTTAAACATTATGAGATGAAATTAGGTACCAATTAAGCATTATTTTTTAAAAAAAATTATGATGAGATTTGAATCATAATATCCCACGATCGAACGTTATCTTCATTCTTTTTTATTTTTTCACCTAAATGTCTTGAATGCTCTTTTAACAACGGTCCTACAAGACGAGGCCTCATGAAGATGTGAAACTAGCTAAGGATAATTATTTTTGCGTGATAGACAAAAAAACAAGAAAATGTTTTAACAAATTAAAGATTGGTTATATTTAGCAAGCAATAATTAAAATAAATGCACTCTACTTTCCTAATGATTGAAGCATTAGTAACAGACTGAAATAATCATAACATACCCCAAAATAATGTTTATACCCTACGTACTTTAAACTGTGTCATATCTTGCTAGGACCTCTAAAATCCTTGAGATTTTCATTTTTGTAACTAATATTTTTCCTATTTAATTCATTATATAGCAATTTGCAAATGATTATACATGATTAGATGGGACATACTAAAGACAAAAACAATTCCTCAGCATTTTTTGAGCTTAAAAAATTGATTTGATTAAGTAGCGGCGGATTCAGATCATAATATATGAATTTTTGGGAATTTAATAATTTTTGCATTGATCTTGTATCTTGTATCTTTATTAAGAAATCTATTAAATATGTTTTTGTGAACTCAATTATTATTATTTATTAATTTGAAATCGTGTAGAAATTTAAAACTTTAAATTGTGAATTCGCCGATAAAGCAGTAAACAACTATTGAAACTTGAATAATGATAACAACATGATCAAAAGAAAACCTCGGTTACTGTGAAAATGTAATCTTATTAATTTTGATATTTTCATTTATTTGATTGTTGTACTCCATCACACATCCACTAAGATGTCCCCCTTATCGTTTTCACTTTGTATAAAGGATACTGCAAATAAAACAAATGAATATAAAGCCTTGAAAATAGGAGAAGAATCATTACTTACGTTAAACAAAACTTTTGTTTGAATGAATGAATATATACAGCTTTTGTTCTAATAGCATCATAGTTTACCTACCCCTTTATTATTTCATTTATTAGTCATTAATAAGGGGTCAGAACATTATTGAGGCAAGCAAATGGACATATTTACCTAAATAAAATTTTGGGACAACAATAGAAGTTGTGGTCATATGATCGAGAGTCATGGATTCAAACTGTGAAAACAGTTTCTTGAAGAAACGCAAAGTAATTATGTGTACGTACACCCAATGTAATTCGGACCTTTCCCTAGATTCATGGAGTAGTGGGAGTTCGGTGTATCATGTTATCCTTTGTAACCTTCTCAATCGAATGAATTTTGAGGCAACGGTAAAAGTTGTCATCGTATGATCAAGAGGTCACAAATTCAAGCCCTTCCGTTGATTCCTTGCGTAGCGAGAGTTTAGTGTATCATGTTGTCCTTTTTATCCTTCTCTATCTAGCTTTTAAACACATCCTTGATAATGGATATGTCTGTCAAATAAAAGATGGAAAAATCTGGTAATTTTGAAACTTCTAATGGTGTAAAGGGAAAGCTAAGTTCTAAAGCTGAGTAACATGTCAGTCATTTGGGTTGATTTTTGCTTTTGAGAACTTCTATGATTGAGCTTTATTAGTAGTAGTAGTAATAGTTTAACTTCTTGGGATTCTCATGTTACTTTGATGAAGTCTAGACACCAAAACCAATGATTGGAACATGCAGTTTTTATACCCTTTGGATCAGAATTTATCCAGTATTGTATCTAGTTACTTGCCAGAAAAAGGAACCTAGCAAATCTCTAAAGATTTGAGAGAGAAAAAAGCAGTCAAGAAAAGAAGCAAAAGGAAAAACAAATCCCTTTTGTCATCACAGTTTGAATAAAGGGGTGTTTGTGCTAAACAGATTCAAGAATTTCATCACAAAATGCCAATTACTTTGATGTATACAGGAACAAATTATGTGCCAAAATGTCATGGTAGAGAATTAGAAGACAAAAAGAATAAGTATTTGTCTTATCTGATCATGCACTAATTCAATCATTTATAGGTAACATATATTTTCCATTCCACCCAAGAAAGAGAAAAAAAGATTACAGTAACCCATTGTTATCCAAAATAACAAAGAAAATAAAAACATACAACATTGCTAGATCTCAATATATTCAGTTAAACTCTTCAAGATAGAAGAGGAAAGAAAAGGACTTAATCTTCTAATATTCTAATAAGTGATAAACCTTAAACTCTTAGCAAATAAATGCTAAGTTCAGGAGCTCCATTACTATCAGGATTCATCATGTAGAATGCCTCTGAATCTCTAGATCCAATAACTCTCTCAAATTTAGCCCTCATATACATAATCTCACCAGAATCAGCACTTTCTTCTTCACCATTCCCTGGCAAAACACCAGCACCCATTGATATTGGCTCCACAGCTTTAAGAATCTGCAGTTCTTTTGCCCCAATTTCTCTTCTTGTTGCAAACCCACATTTTTTACCATTGCAGTAAGTCCTCCACACAGGCTCATCAATGAGTCTAGACACTTTTTTCTCTTCCTCCTTATCGCATTCCAACGCAATTCGGACCAATCCAGACGCCATTTCTCGGACTAAACCACTTATAGGTGTGGCTAGTTCAACTAAGAAGGCTGGCTGGGAGGTGGAATCTTTTTGAAATGCAAAATGTACATGTCCACGCCTGTGCCCAAAAAGAGTGCCTACAACTCTGGTTCCAAGGCCTTGTTGGAAGTTAGACCTGTTTCGCCCGAAAGCTGTTAGGACAGATTTTAGCCTGGCTACTGCTATTGTCTGCAGCTTCCTCCTAGTTGCTGAAGAAGATTCTTGCTTGTCCTCAGCCTTGTTTTCATGGATGGTGTTTAAAGTTGATGACTTGGTGTTTGAAACTTGAGGATTCTTGAAAGAATGTACCTTTATATTCTCTGTTTTCCCTTCTTCATTTCTGTTTGGAGATGAATCTTTTGATGTTACTTCTTCTTGTTCTTGTTCTTCATTGCTGACTTTAGCTGTCCAGTGGAACTGCCTCTTAGAGGACAAGTCTTGGAAACTCTTTGCCATGATTGTCTTCATCTAAGAAAAGAGTAGGAGATGCACCTTTAAAGTAATGGAAGAGTGAGGGGCAAAGAGATTCTTGTTACTACTACTTCTTTATTCAAGGGATTTTCTTTTTCTCTCTTTTATCTTTTTTTTATTGTTTTGCTTCTTCTACTGCTTTGTTCAAACAAATAAGAATCTGATAAAGAAAAACACAAGTGTCCCCACCAATTGTGTCATGGGAATTGGGAGTAGTATAACACAGCACAGGGAAAGGTGAAGGCTTGAGAGGATGTGAGGAGAGAAAGGTAAATGTTTTGAAATAAAGAAAGGAATCTCAGGGAGACATAAGATGTGTTATTTCACTTTCTTGTGGGGTATGGTGAGAAAAAAATAGCTTGACTGGCTCTTTTTTGACCTGAACAAAAACAGTGTGGTCACAAAAATCACAGTGAAAGAGAACTAAAGAAGCATAACTATTTACACTAGACATCCTCCCAACACAACATTCTGCTTCATGTATGATAAAACCTGCACACAACAGTAATGATGTTTGCCTCAGATTAGTAATCACACACATTCTGAAACGTTGCAAAATAGATGAAATATTATGTTACTACTCAAGACACAATAACCTGCGATATACAGTGCATCAAAACTGACACTCTAATAAGGGATTTAATTCTCTCATTCCTCTTTCATTCTTTTTTGCAGGAAAAGAGAAAAATGCCAACCATATGGTGGGCCTAAATAGCGAAGGTTTTTTCATCAATGTTTGAATTCTAGTTCCCCTTCTTTGGAAGGGTAAAAGATTTGCACCAAAACCAAGTATGGCGGAGCACCAAAGGCACAACTTAGCAGTCAAAGAAGTGAGTGAATCACTATTGGAAATCATGAGTCAAATCCTAGTAGAAACAAAGTCAGTAAGGGATAATGGTGGATCCAAAGTAAACAGGAAACACCAATTTAGGCAACTTACAAGGAGGACCCTAGGTTATTGCCATGACCACTAAGTTGAGTTGTAAAGCCATTACAACAATGACCAAATAAGTGGTATAGCGACCATCACATTCATCATTCGTCCCCTAATGGTTTTCAGTGCTGTGACTATTTTTATTAATGTAAAAGTAATAAAGATACAAACCCCAACGCAATCAATCACATTGGTCCTGGGTGGGGGCTGAGTCGGCCAATTAGTATGAATGGGCCAACTGATGACAAAGAGCCCCAGCAGTTCCCACTCTTGACAAATAAAAAATATACTGAAAGCACTTGTACGCCGTAGAGACTATTCTGAAGAAAATTCACTAATTACAGAAAATATAGACATAATTAAAAGAGTACAAATTGAAATCAAGTTCACAAGCAGGCAAAAGAGCCAGGGGAGCTTTTTGTACATAATAAAAGAGAAACCACCTGTAAAAACTAAAGAGGTGCTTGCCTACAGGAAAAAACTACGCCCTAAGTTAGCAGTCCAATTTTTGCTCTGTTTCCGGGTCTTGCTGTTTGGGGGGAACTGTAACAACTCCATTCATCCTCGCACGTGCTTCAGCAAACATCCTTTGTTGTGCAGCTAATGCTTCTTCTTCAGTCATTTCAGCTACATTATTGCTCCACTTCCCAGCTCTCACAGTGTCCTATGGGAGAAACACAAAGCAAAAGGGCAATCGTGAATGAAGATTTTTTTTCACCATTAAATCGTTTCACATGGTCGCAAAACTTATTTGAATTCAAAATAAATGTCGTCTAGCTCTAGTTTGGACCAAGGGTGAGAAAAGAAAAGGAACAAATGACTTTGTTACACCAGCAAAAGGATCCTTCATACATCCTAACTTTTAGGCCATTCATAGATTCCAATTTCCAACAATGTAAGAAGACAGAAACTAGCTCCTACGTACCACAGTCTCCAACTTGTGTTGTTCATATGCAGCATAAACTTCTTCAGTATATTCCCCAAAGCCAAGAACCTGAAAGCCAAAAGTGTGTATCATTCCCAGGATGCGGTAGGATATTGAACAAATTTTCACGGGCACATATTAAATCTGACCTAACGTTAAATCTGACCTAAAGTAACTATTTAATTAAGTTCTCTTGTTATTTAACACTATCATTTTTATTTTTATCTTTGTTATGATAATGATGCAACACTAACAATTATAGAAGTATTTAAGAAATGAAAACTAAAACTGGTCCATGGTTTCATGGTGAAAAGTTGTTGCTAGAGACCTAAAGCATGAGTGTTATTGATGTTGCCTAACATCACTACCATACCAAACCAAACATGGAACTAATTAACAAGGTTTGCATTACATCATTCTTATTGGCACCATGCCACTTTGTCACCTCAGATGAGAACTAGGTTTGAAATTCTTTAAATCACCTTCAAATGAACTCACGCTTATGGTGACTGCAGCTGAGAACAGAAGAGAATTGCAAAAAGAGCAAGATGATGGTGATGAACATAATAGAGTAACTCCAGGATCAAGAAGTACCTCTAAGGCCTTGAGTACATGTTCTGGTGCAATTGTTCGTTTATCTTCTCTATTACAAACTTCATTTGATTCTGATGAGATAAGATTGATGAACTCTGCACAAGAACAAAGAAAGGTGGAATACCATGCAAATTAAAATCAGAACCACAATAAGAAGATCGTTCAAATGTGAAATCAAGCTATGATTTAATTTTAAGGAATGTAAAGAGATGAAGTTATATTATCTAATAGAAGGAAAGAACATAGGACAGACTTCAATCCTGTTGAAATAGCAAACACAAATCACCAGCCAAAACATCAATGAAAATATACTTATTGAAAAAATATCAGCAGAAATAAGTAATAAAAGTAGTGTCATGTAACAAATCATTATGCTTAGTTTAACAAAACAATTATCAAATAGATTACCTAATCAGGAAAAAAAAAAGGATCTAAGGAATAAGTTAGTTTAACAGAATAATGATCAAGTTTCATCAAAACTCTCACTTTTTAAGTTACCAAGAGTCATCTTCCTATAGAATATAACTAAAATTGAGCTAAAAAGAACTTGAATGCCTTCAAAGTGACCTGTATTATCCAACTATGTTCTAAACCTTCCGATGCTTATCACATTTTGTGTCGACAAAGTGAAACCAAGAGCTAACAAACAACTAGCACAAAACTTTCATATTAAACCATAGTCCTCCTATGTAAGTACTACTGCCAACAGCACAGCCCAACACTTAGTCCCCCTAAAATTCTAGAGAAGCATAGTTGCTATTAGAAGCCCTACTGGTAAGAGCACAACACTTCAACAGAATTTTAAAGAAGATAAAAAAAAATAGATCAGGCAAACTAAAATCAACTCACCTACACAACATTCAATCAAAAGATCCTGCGTATCTCGGGCAACACGAACATCAGGGGGCAACATTTCTTTAATAATCTTTGTCATAGTTGCTGATAAGAGAAAATTGTTTTATCAGTATATTTAGAATCAAGGAAATAACAAATAAGCAAACCATCAGGCAAACTCACTCATATATCCCAAATAGCAAACTCATGAGGAAAACAAAATGATTCAGACAAGGTGAAACCAGAAGCAACAAAAAAGAACTTCAATATTACCACTATTTGGCTTTTGCATTTGAAATCACCAATCGCATCACTGTAATTATCGAATTCTTTGCAAAAGCAATTAGTATCACTTCAGTCACTGACAAGTTAAGTTTTACCCTCTTCAGAAATAAATCACAAACTCCACTCAACAGGGAGAGAGCTAAGGGGAGACAAAAGGTTTTATTGAACCCTTTTGCAAGAAAATTGAATGGTGAAATATGGCAAAAAAGATTTCATTGGTTATCTATGAACGGTTGAATTGCTTTGACGTAAGAGAAGTTTATCAGTAAAAGGGGTTCAAAAACTGCTTTAGGTCACAAGTTCCAATCTTAGGTATCACACTTCAGTATTTCATGAATCCCTGTAAGAATTTCTAGTATATCCCGGCCTTGTAAAAATTTAATTGCTTTTAATTTCCCTGAATCACCCCTCCAAAAACAACTAATATCCCCCTCTGCTTACTACCTATTCATCCGCTCAAAATCTCGATAATTAGATTTCAAAGATAATCAAACAGAAACAAGGGATAATTCACCAAAAAAGAAGTCATCAAAAAGCATAATTACAAGTGCAACATATAATTCATTCTCTGAATATACACTAGATATGCGCAGCTATAAAGAGAACATGGAGGAAGAGGAAAACCTTTGGGAAGCGAAGCATCCTCCTTCGTCTTACCAACGATATCCATTGGTTCCATTTTAATCCTTCAAAATCAAATTCATAAATTCTTAGGAAAAAAATATCAAGTTTCTACGCATCAAACAAAAGCGAAGGCAACGACTGAATACGATGAGAATAGCTTCAACAAGTATTCTTACCTCAGAAAGAAAAGTTGCGAAACTAGTAGATCGGCAAGAGGAGCAGCAAATCGGCCGACTTGAAGAATTTGAAAGAAGATCGAAGAAGGTGATCGGAGTACGGTGGTGGTTCATGGTGGATATAGAGAGAGAAGGATGTGTTCGCAGACGACTAGGGCAAAGCGCATCCAACAAGGGATTCTCCACGCGCGGATGGATACGTGTCGTGCATGAGCAGTGGGTCCCATCATCATTGTGAATGCTAAAAGGGGGCGTGGTAAGCACGCATGAGCGAAGTGTGTGGGGGTAACGGTGACGTATATTGCTTATATAGTTTTCAGCAAAATGGAAAGAAGATTTTGGTAGATGGAGTTAGTAGTGGTGTCATCAATGAAAAGGAGAGGAGACGAGAAAGTTTCCGATCTCTGCTGGATTTGCCGATTATGTGATGCTTAATTTCATTTCGTTCAGATTGGGCTTTTAGTAATTGGGCTCTGCTCTATGGTAAGATTGGGCTTTTGGGCTAATAGCTAATGTTTGGCTAATTGCATGGAGTAGTTATAGTTTGAGTAGCTATTCAGGTTATATCTTGCATAGTTCTATTAAATATTTATATAAATAGGACTCTCAATTTAATTAATAATAAATACACAAAAAAATCGAAAAAAAATCCCACAAATTACGGAAAAAAATTCTCGAAGCAGAGAAAAATCTCACGAATTACCCATTGTATTTATATCAATTGATTTTCTATTGGTATTTTTTTGTTCCGAAATTACGCGAAGAACAAATTGAATTGTATTTATATTGATTGATTTTTTGTTTTGTATTTTGTGTTTCAAAATTATATTAAGATCGAATAGATTTGTGTTTGTATCATTTGATTTTTTTGTTTCTATTTTTTGTGTTTCTACGAAATACGAAAATCTGATTGAATTGTATTTGCATTGAGTTATATTTGCATTCCTAAAGGTAGGATGGTATGTATGATTGATATATCTAATAATTTGTATTTGTATAATTTGTGTAATTGATACAAAATCAAATATAAAAATTGAATTTATTAATATAGGGATTAAATTTTTCTTTTGATGTGATTTATATTTGTATATATTGAAATTTGTTGGTACATCTAGTGATTTGAAATTATATTTCAGCAACAAGTAAATAAATATAAATATTGAAATTATACAAATATTAACTAAAATGTATGTCCTTCTTGCTTAAGATTTGATTTGAGGCTTTAATTGGCAAGAAATTTGAGGTTTGCTAATCAGGTGACCAAATAAGTTTTAGTGTATATCAAATAGGAGAATATATGTATACACTCATTATTATAGTGTTAGCTATGCATATTATTCTTCGAATATATTAAATTTAAGGAAAGTTTTCATAAACAATAGAGTAAAGACATAAAAGCACAATTGAAGTTGTTTCGAATTTTCATAAAGACACCTTAATTTAGAGGGCGCCCTATTACCCCACAAAAGTATTGAATATCTTTGTAAAAAGACCATTTTGACTCATTTTCTCACTATGTTTGTGACCACGCACATGACGCGCGTGAAGGTCCTTTTTTGCTGTCAAAAACCAATTGAAAAGTGCCACATTTCAATTACTTTCTTTATTAATTATTTACCTAATCATTTTTTTATTATTTTAGTTAAAACAGGACCAAAGGTCCACTTTATTTCAACTGGAAACATGACCAATTTGACTTATTTTGAAAAAAACCCATAAGAATTCATGTATTAATTTTTTTACCTTTATTAGGAATAGTTTTTTTATTCTTTTAAAACTTTTTTCTCATCTTCCCTACAATCATTAGCTTATACGTATTTCTTGGGGGATCCATGTCTTCCTTCATTTTTTTTCCTTTTTTTCTTTTTCGTTTTATGGTCATTGTTTTTTTTAAAAAAAACTAATGTTGTTGTGTTCATTCTTTTTTTTTAATAACAAATTAGTTTAGTATTTTTTTTCCTCCTACAAATCAAGATTGGGATTTTGGAGCAATGAAACTATGGAAAACTTGATTTGGGAGTAAGGAGTTAGAGAAGGTGGTGATTTAAATTTTAGATTTTGACTTGGTGATATTTTTGAGTATTTGAATTTTGATTATTTGACGGTGTTTATTTTCATAAATAAATTAATTGGTAGTAGTTTAACAAATAATTGATAGTGCTGCTGTGAAATCAGTCGCGCCACAGCGGGATTGATGATTGTTGCAGGCTTGCAGCGATGATGAAGGAATGGGTACTTGAAGAACACAAGTTGAGGCGAAGAAGAAAGAGAAAAAGAAAAAAAAAAGCAAAGAAATCAAATAAAAATAATTAAAAATTACTTTTAACACGTGTCAAGTGACTATTAGTGCGTGACTTACAAATATTTTTGTACAAGTGGTATTGGGTGAAAAATGGGGTATACATACTATTTTGAAATTGTTCAATGGGGTAATAGGACACCCGCAAAGTTAAAGTGTCTTTTTGAAAATTCGGGACAACTTTAATGGTTACTTTATGTCTTTACTCTAAACAATAAATATTAAGCATTAATATGACCTCCTGTCCATATTTTTACTATTTACAATAAATAGCTATATTTTGATTTGTCATGGAAGTATTTTCTGTATTTTTTCACATGATTCGTTAAAAATGATACAAATACAAAAAAAAAAACAATTAGAGTAAATTATGGTAGAAAATCTTTCAAATTAGGTAAAAAAATTGAAATTGCTCACTTACTTTCGTTACATACAGGAGACTCAAATAAGCACTTGATTTTTCTCCTTCCTCGAATAATACAATATCACTAAATACGTGAATTCAAATCGCTATTGTTAATCGTCTTTGAAATTCAAAGACGATTCAGTTCTTCATCGTTTTTGCTGAAAAATTTAGAATCTCTGATAGATCTGTGAAGCAATTTTTGAATGCAAAATTGTTCTTCCTGTACAAACCTAAATTCGAGTATCGATCAAAGAATCTCGTTGAAATATAGAATTGACAGTTCATAATCGATCTTCAAAGCATAATCGATGATAGAACTGTGAATAAATCTCTTTGAAATACAAATTCATACTTAAATTATACTTATTTCATTTTAGCAACAATTCATCATTGTTCTGGTTGCATAATATAAATTAGAATATAAATATGTTTGGAATACAAATTTGATAATTATAGGGACTTGATTCTCCTCCTTCTTCCTTGAATTCAATTCACTACTGTTAATTGTCCTTGAAATTCAAAATCTTACCAATTTATCATCGTTTTTTAAAATTGTTGATATGTCTATGAAGCAATTTTTGAATACACAATTGAAGCAACAGTTTATCATTACTCTTCTTGCATAATATAGATCGGAATACAAATATATTTGAAATACAAATTTGTTAATTTTGGTTATGATGTAAGTTGAATGACTGTGAATATATATACTTAATAATTGGAATACAAATGTGATTATGATATATATATATATATATATATATATATATATATGATGCGATTCAAATTGTATGTTGAACATAATACAATTCAGTTTAGAAATACATTTTTTCTTAGAAAACAATCTGTTTGGGATACAAATATTGAATGATCATGAATTTGTATGTTGGATGATTGGAATATAAATTTATTTAGAATACAATATAGATGATGTGATACAAATGGAACCTTAAATATAATTCATTTCTAAATACAAAACAAACTAGCAATATAATGAAATAATACTTAACAACCATCCAAGCAAAGTATTAGGGGTTGTTTGGTAGTTGTATAAAACAAGTCTTATTCATGTATTAGAGTCTGTATAACTTATACGACGTTTAATATGTAGATAAAAAATAAGTTATTTAGGTATTAAATTTATAAGATATCTGGTTAATAATTTTGAAATCCACGTAACTAATACATGTATAAGTTATGAGAATTTTTTTATATTATTTATGTGGAGTAAAATGTGGAATAATTAATACATATATAGCTAATACATGAATAAAAAGTTAAAATGACTATATTATCCTTATCACTCCCACTTCACTAATTTTTTTTCTACACAAACAACAAATATTTCTAAGGAAAAAAACTGATAAATGTCGTATCTTGAAACAATTTTCAAGAACGGCTTTCTTCATCTTATTTCTACTTGTCCCATAGCGCAATGAACACCTTTGTTTATGTTGAGTCAGCTTCTCCTTGCTGATGAAACTTGCACCGTAATTGTATGCGGTGTTCAAATTTGAATCTCCTAAATGTGATTTTTTAAAAGAGAGCCATACATGAAAATTGATTTACAGTCGTCTGACTCACAAACGAATGCCAAACCTTAAACTTTTGATTTTTTATATTTAAAGTGTTAACTAATAGTTTTTTAAGATCCAATGTGTTATTATATTTCAAATTATTTTTGAGATGTAAGTTATTTTTCCTTTTTTATGAATTATTTTAAAGTTTTTCTATAAATATACTACTCCATCCATTTTCTTCTTTTATCTGATTTTGACTTTACACGAATTTTTAAAAAGTAAAGAAGATTTTTAAATTTTATGGTCTTAAACTAAATTTATATATATATATATATATATATATATATACCAAAATAACTTTTAATCTTGTGGTCTTACACATGTCATGTGGAAAGTTAAATTTAAATTACAAAAAAGAAAAAAACTTTCTTTAATATGTTGAAATAAACTAAAAAAAGTAAGACAAAGGGATAACGGTCTGAAAAATACCCCAACTTTGGTCGGATTTGTTGTTGCAATACTAAACTTTCATAAGGACCTATTACCTCCCTAGACTATTTAATACCATATTTTTTACCCCTAAACTATTTAATAGTGTATTTTAAAGGTATATATGTGCCCACGTGGACACATTACTATTTATAATTTTGCATTATTTTTTATGTCCACGTGGGCAAATATATATGTTTAAAATACGGTATTAAATAGTCTAGGGTGGTAATAGGTGCTCATGAAAGTTTAGTATCGCAATAGCAATTCTGACCAAAGTTGGGGTATTTTTCAGACCCTTATCGCTAAGACAAATAAATTGAAGACACAATATATATATATTTCAAAAAAAAAAAACTTATAATAATTCTAATATTACTGAAAAATGTAGTCCCTCATATTTTTAGGCTAAGGCGGATGCCTCCTTTTTTTAAGACATTGAGTTGCCCCTGGCTAAAACCAAAGAGGATTTAAAATCAGTTAAAACTTGAAACTGCAACCTTAATACAAAGGCCATAACACTTAAAACTTAAGTAGTTTAACTTAAGCTAAAATCAAAGAGGACTTAAAATAATTCAAAACTTAAAACTTAAAACTGCAACAAATGCAATATTCTCTATCTCGATCATATAACATGCACCATAGTTATGAACATTAACAGAAATGAAATGAAACAATTAATTAATTAGTATGTGAAAGGATAGATGAAGGATGAAGATATACATAACGGGGGGGGGGGGGGGGGGGGGGTACCGATAATATTCTAATCTGATATTGAGTAGTAATTATACATAGTCTTATTGATATTAATATTAGGCGCAAAGAAAAAAATAGCTTATTGTATTTGGACTGTTATTTTATTATGCAGAGGCACATTCTTTCCTACAAATTTCGTGAGATTGTAATTTTAAGACAACTTTATCAGTGTTACTCTAGTTTTACCTCGTCCACTTTTAGCACTTCCAATTATTATAGCTTGGAGTCATGTGTACATGACCAAACCATTCTCAGACCAACCTTCTTTTATTCCAGGCTCTTTGTTCTACTAGTAATACAATCAGATGTAATCATCTCCATTTAGAATTTGTTTGACATTGTTGTTGAGAAAAAAAACACTTTTGTTGAAAACAACATCCACTTTCAATTTACAAAAATTATAAACACTAAATGTGGCCGGTAGTTGTAGTTCATTTGGCATGTTAAACTCCATATGTACGTTCTATACAACATATATACGACACATGAGAGAGTCTGTGTATCCAGATTTATGAGAATCCACTTTGATAGCCTATATCTGAAATAAATTACACCTAAATTTAACTTCATATATTTGAGTTTAGACACTTTATGTATTTGAAATACACATATATATATATTTGAATCTGAAATCTAACACAAATGATAATTTTAAAAACTCATAAAAAGACACGCGCCAAATACATTTATCAATTATGTGATGTCAATTGCATTTCGTTCAATTTGGGCCTTTTGCAGCTAGGCATGGGGCTCCATTTTGGTTTATGGTTTTGGTGCTATCATTTTAATTGGTAAAAGAAAATGACTGTGAATTATGTCATGTAAATCCTATTTCGCTCAATTTAATGCATTTGTAATTGGGTTGTGCATCATTTTTTTTAACATTTGCTTTGTGCGTCATATCATTAACTTTTATTATAAGTAGTTTGATCTAATTACACAAAATCTAAAATATTTAGATTAATATTTTAAAAAACTCTGTTGGGACTAGCCTCAGGACTCGTCCTAGGGCGGGATTCTAGCAAAACGCTCCGAGACTCAAGTGTGGGGCTTAGTACTGTAAGACTTATGCCCTAAGAGCCCGACTGTATGCCCTAAGCACGCCTAACGCCCAACGCTCACCTAACAAATCTTACATAAATTATGTGTTTAAATCTTTAGTTAACATTGTTGACCCTCATAATTCTTGAATAATTAAATGATACATAATAATATTTAATCTATAGAGATAAGAAAATTGAGAATAACTGAAATAACAAGTTTTAGTATCACATTTTTTCTATTTGGTAACACTGTGAAAGTAATTATATATTAGTAACATTTCTTTTAAAAATACGTCGCGAAATTTTACTTTTTCACTTATCATTGGTCTTCATGCTTTTTTCATATGTATCAAAATTATTATATTTAATTTAGCTATTTGAAAGTAATCTTATTTTTATTCAAGATGGAGTGATGTTTTTATTATAATACTAGTATGTCTATTAATTATTTTCTTTTAGGGGGGTAAATCGTATAGTATGATAAAAAAATAAATTTGAAAAATGATTCTTTTATTATTAGAAAGTTTGTTATTATATTATTATACTATATTATAAATTAAAAATTTAAAGATCCATAGGGTCTATGTCCCACGTCTCAAGGCTTACGCCTTGCCCTATACTAAGTAAAACGCCTCGCCTCACGCCTCCGCTTTTTAAAACACTGATTTAGACTATAGAGTCTGTCACCAAACTTCTAACATATCCTTAACAGTCGCATTTTCTGACATGATGTACTGTATCATATGTGAGTAGCATATACCACTATAACTTAATTCTCAGAGATGAATCATACAGTTCCATCTTATACATATCTCGACCTCTCTCTCCTACAAAGCTAGAGAAGTATGCATCAAAAATACGAATATTATCGAATGATCATATTTTAGTCTAATAAAATAGTTTAATCTCGTGCGAAGCATACATAATTTACCTAGTTAAATTATACACAATCAAAATAAACCAAACGTATAAATGGTGGATTAAGTAGCCACTCTAAATTCTCCTTCCAAAATTAATTTCTCCGTACTTACCACTAACACTTTGTTTGGATCACTGTTACTCATTGTATTGTATTGTATTGTATCGTTACAATACCTACAACGTTTGTTTTGATTGTTACTTAAAATGTATTGTATTGTATTGTTAAATTTCGTTGTTACATAATAATGAAAACCCCTATTTTATGAAACAACCGATTTGGTGTGTTCCCATTGTTACTTAATTTCTTTTTCCAATTATATATTTACATAATATTTCAAATCACTATTTTACCATTTACCTTATATTATTTAATTTTAGTCAAACCTCTAGCCCTAGAATAATTAAGGATATTTTAGTAAATTTATAAATTACAATACAGTTAGATACAATCAAACCAAACAATTAAAATATTATTAAACAATAAAAAACAATACAATCTAGCCAAACATTATATCTATCATACGATATAGTATAATAAAGTACAATATAATACAATACATTATGAAACAAATGGATGACAATGATATATACAACACAAGTATATATACGACAGAAGGGAACCTCCAGAACCCCGCAGAGGGTAGAAATCACGCCGTTGGCTTATATCGGCTCTCCGAGAGGCGAATTTTTCGAATCGACGATCACATTTATCAAAATCAAGGAAACTAGGGTTTATAATCTCTCCCCGTGTAATGCGCTAGCATCAACAGATATATAGGAAAATGGATAGCGACGAGGAAGATTTCGTGTTTTACGGAACACCTATAGAACGAGAGGAGGATGTCAGTAGCCGCAAGAAGAAGGCCATCGCTGAGGCCTCTGGCCAGTTGCGAACTCTTCCCGCATGGAAACAAGAGGTAAACAATTTCAAATCAATGTCACGGGTCTGAAAATAGAAAAATTTCCGTTGGTTCATGTTCTTGAATTATTGATTCATGATTCCAATTGCTAGTTACTTGAAAATACTGTTTCTTGAATTCTTTAGAAGTTAGAAAATACGAATTCTTATGTTTTAGACAAGAAGACATAGAATATGATGGATTAAGTTGCTTGTAAATACCGTTTCTTGAATTCTTTAGAAGTTAGAAAATACCGTTTCTTGAATTCTTTAGAAGTTAGAAGTCTATGTTTTAGACCATAAGACATAGAATATGATGGATTAAGTTGCTTGAAAATACTGTTTCTTGAATTCTTTAGAAGTTAGAAAATACTGTTTCTTGAGTTCTTTAGAAGTTAGAAGTCTATATTTTAGACAAGAGGACATCAAATATGATTGATTAAGTTGCTTGAAAGTACTGTTTCTTGAATTCTTTAGAAGTTAGAAGCCTATGTTTTAGATGAGAAGACATAGAATATGATGGATTAAGTTTCTTGAAGTTCTCCTGCTCGTTTCTTGTGTGAAATTAGTAGAATTTTAATGACAATGTAGCCTCGTTTGATGGACATTGCGAAGCACCTTTTTCTTTTTTTTGGTTGTCAATGTCATGTTGTCCTTGTTGAGTTTAAGGTAGTTTACATTGATAGTATGAGAGAGTTGATAATTTGTTTTAACCTTTTGACGAAACATTAGTACTACTAATACATATAGCCCATTAAGCACCAGTCCCTGTAGATTGAAATGAGTGCTTGATTAAAGATTTTCATCCTTGGGAGCTATTTTTTTTATCTGCTTCTATCTGAATTTTTCACTTGTTAACGAAATTGATTCTCAGGTCACAGATGAAGAGGGACGGAGGAGATTTCATGGGGCATTTACTGGTGGTTTTTCCGCTGGATACTACAATACAGTTGGGTCGAAAGAGGGTAGAGTGTAACTTCCATTTTATTGTTCTGCTTCATTTCAGTGACGTTTTTCTTGATAATTTTATTTTCGACCTATTTATCTGAGATTCTTTATGAACCATCTATATCAATGTTGTAGGATGGACTCCACAGACATTTACGTCATCTAGGAAAAACAGAGCTGAAGTCAAACAACAGTCTCTCTTTAACTTCTTGGATGATGATGAGAAAGCTGTATGTTCTCTTCCTTTCCTTTCTTCATAGATATAAGAATATAAATATGTTATACTATTTTTTGTATGAGTTATGCCCAAAGAAGTCAATCAATCCTCTGACGAAACATCAGCTTTTGGTTGGAGAAAATATGAAATAATCCGAGATGCTCTTCTCAGGATGCTTACTCACCTTTGTTATCAATTACTTCCTCCTGCAAGGTTGGAGTTTTTACTTTAAGAGATATTTCCTGAAAGACGCACGATCTCCAGTATACATCTAGTGTGTTTTCCTCTGCTGTTTCTTTTCCGAAAGCCACAATTCCAAGTTCACACTGTCTCTTCTATTTGAGCTGTGGAGTATGCTTGAGCATATAAAAAAAGAAATTGCGGTTGAACTTGAGCTTTTGCAGAAAACATGATGTGATAGCCACTAATCTCAGAAACACTCACCGTATCTGCTGATTGCTATTGCTTCAATTTATTGGTTAAATCAATCATTAAGCATTGCCTTTTTTTTTCTTTCATTCACTGAACATTACTTTCTATGAGGCCAGATTCCGTATGCATGTGCTGTGTATTTAATGGTTAAGTCCACTGGTGTATGATGCCATTTGCTATTGTCTTTTCATTTTGATGAGATCAATTTTTGTGAAAGCTATATAGAGCTCCCCTGTAATTTTTGTTATCAAAACTAACACAAAAGCTGGTACTATATTCTGTGACGCTATAGACGGTTGAGGAACCCAGACTGATAAAAAAGCAATTCATATTTGAATGACTGTTTGATGATTATTGCTTCTACATTTTGATTGAGGATGACGATGCTAAGGTGGTTTAGTTAGTAAACCACCCGAGCAGGTTATGTCCTAGTAGAGTAGTAGTGTAGAGCACTGGGTACTTGAATGACTATTGTGAAGCATGAAAGTCAGTGTACTTTTTTCTCAAGTTCCCCTGTTTTCTGATATTTAATTGTTATTTTCTCTTAGTCATTGTTGTCAAGCTGATTCTAGTTCTGTGAATTCATCAAAGTGTTCGTTTTGTAAATTATGTGGGAAGTTAAGAATGACATATTCGAGTTGAGCTGGTACTGATCATTCGTTCATATTCATTTCTGTTCCCTAGAAGCTTACTCTGGTTTTTTATATCATAGGAAATGGAGGGTCGTCTAGGGACATCGATGCAGTATGATACGTTTGGATTTACTGCTGCTGAACTTGCTCGTAAACAAGCTGAAAAGGAGCAAAAGCAGAGGTGTTCTATTGTGCTTAGCTGCTTCTTATGTATAAAATTGTTAGTTTGTAGCTTAGACCTTAGCTGTTTTTTACTTTTTGTCTTATGGCATTATGTGATTGCTATAATCTAAATATCATTACCTAATTGAGCTGCAACCCTGTTCCCTGCATCTTTTCTTTTACTGTTGAAAGGATTTTATGCTCATTTTTCTACAAGGCATGTTCTTTAAAAACTATGATATTTGTTTTTGTATCTTCCTGAACAATCTTGTGACTATAAAGTGAGCACTAATTGGGTGAGATAGTAAATGCATGACCTGAGACAACCTTAGAATCCTCTTGATGTACAAATATTATTCTGATTGATATACATAGTTGACATTTAGAATAGTTTTCTCGATGTACGAGGATTATAGCTGCACTTATTTTTTGTGCTTTTTTACACTGTCCATGCCAGGCCTACCGCCTACCTTGTTCTACATGATTGAGTTAATTGTATGTCTAATCTTCCTACTTTCTTTCATTAGTGTTAGTTGCAAATCGCTCGAGTAGATCTGGATTGAAGGAAACCTTAGATGCTTAAATTCCATTATTGAACTATGAGTCAACTATTCTAGTTTCTCTTATCTTCACTTTTCATACTTTGAACATCTTGCTTGTATTGCAGGCCCTCTGCTATACCTGGACCAGTTCCGGACGAAGTGGTACTTCCAGTGACAGAGTCCATTGGTCTGATTCTATGTACACTGAAAAGTACAATTTTTGTGAAGAGAATAATTTCTCACTATGTTATTCTTATTTTTTGGGCAGGGCTCACATTACTGCAGAAAATGGGATGGAGGCGTGGCCGCTCAATTAACAGCTCACATACTGATTCACTATATAGTATGCATGTACCCTAATGTCATGCTTAGTCTGCTGGATATTGTTAATGACTTATTGTACTATGCATTACCTGGCAAGAAAAGAAATTTTGTCAATGGACTTAATTAGACACAGTTTTTAAACTAGTTGAAGAAAAGCTTTATGGCTGGACAAATCATTCTTGAATTTCTACTAGTTTTGCAGAGTGCTTTACCTTGTTCATAGAGAATGCATTTTTTTTTTACTCCGGTAGAACTGTTGGGTAGATGGTTGGACATTGAAAATTTTATATAATCCAATCAGTTCTCGACAGGTGCCAGAAGCAAACATCTTGGAGTTGACAAATGGACCTTACTAGACACATTTTGCATTAGTTCAAGAAAACTATTTAGGCTGGAAGTCTGAACTCAGAATTATTTCCGTTGATCTTTGAGAGTTAATTTGATGATGCCTTAACATTTCCCATGCACATCTCTTGGACATATTTGGCATCTACAAATACCCTCAGAGAGAATTGAGTGTGCCTTTTAGAAGCTATCATTTTAGGACTTTGTTCTTGGCGTAATTTTTTTGTTCTTAGTGTTTTATAATCGGTTAAGAAAAAAGTTTCAAGAATTTTGAAACTAAACATTTAGTTTTCATCCTTTATAACTATGAATGAATTTGTTGCTATCAATCTATTCTATAAATATGTTTCTCTTTCTAATTGGCAGATGCTAAGAGAGAGGCAAGAAAAGCTTTTCTTGCATTTTCTTTTGCTGATGTGGACGGACAACCTTTGGACTCTGGGCTAGCTGAAGATGCTGCTGACACTATCGTGGATCTACCAACTGATGATGGGAACCAGTTTTCTAAAAGCACACCGGTGCGAACTGTTGCTTTATTTCTTCAAGGCTTTTCTTTGTCATCTAGGGCTTTATATTTTCTCTGTTTCATTTTTCGGAAGTAAACAGCTCCACTTCTTATTACTTGCATTTCATCTTCATGGCAGTGCTTCATTTGGTCTATTGTTATGAGACCATAAAACTGGGATGGCGAGTGTGAGTGGAGAACTGTTGGGTTTTTAGCTATCCTTTCTCTTTTTGAGTGATGCAGTGGGTTGCTACCAAACCACTCTGTTGGTTACTTTAAAATCCCTTTATCTTTAGGAGAAGTGGATGTTGTACATATTTTAGTTTTTCTTTCTTTTTCAACTAGAACAATGCCTGGTTGACTATAGTGAACCTTTGATTGCATGATTGCTCAAATTCATTCAGTTCACCTTTTATCTGGTGAGAGAAGGGAATGTCAATGGTTGTGGTTACCCCTAAATAACTAATTTTGTATGGACTCTTATGCTTTTTCCGATGTGTGTGTAGGGGGGGACCTAATTTATATGAATAGTCTTACATCTTCTATGAACATGTGGAGGGATTTGGTCGACAAAATACTAACTAATTGGGTGTATTTTCTGATCTAATAACATGGGCAGACATAGTTCTTCTGCCCGACATCTTGTTCATAGTAAAATAATTTGTTCCCACAGAACATGAAGAGTTAAAGGAGAATAAAAAAGGTATACTCTATAGACAGCATTGTAAGATATACTCAATTAAAGATTTAAAAGATGCAGACAGGCTTGTGGAGGTCAGTTAATCCAAGAACAGTTTCTGTTATGCCATTCAACGCCGAGAAACTTTCTTTCCCAATATATTCCTGTCAGAATCGATAAAGATAAAATGGGATTCTCCATTTGGGTTTGATGCATTTATTCCAATTACATGGTTATACACGGGATCAGAAGTTTTTCATTTGCTTGCACTTCCTTTTTCTTTTCGAAAAAAAAATAGTGATTTTGTATCCTTGCACAAACTTCCATCTCTATCTCCGTTTAATCCTTTTGCTTTAATGTGCTGGTTCCCTAATATTTTCCTACTTGTTTCCTTACCTCTTTAGGTTTATTTGCTTAATCCAAAGCAAGATTTGCATGGTTTAGGCTATGATCCTTACAAAAATGCTCCTGAGTTCAGAGGTACTTAATGTCTCAGTAATAGAGAAAATGTTAACTGACTTGTCCTTATTGAAATATGTGTAACTAAACTGTCACACATTGTCTGTGAATAAGTGCATTGCTTCTTTTTTTTCTTCAGAAAAGAAGAGATCACGACTATCTAATAGTAGGGAATCAGGGCAACAAGATAGAGTCTTGAAGGACAGCCTTTTTGGTTTCAAATGTAAGATTTACCCTTCATGTTTTCAGATTTTAGCTTGCTTTCCATTTAGTACCTCTTACCTTCTTTCAAAGACTGCAAACTTTACCCCTCATGTTTCAGATTTAAGTTTGCTTTCCATTTAGTACCTCTTAATTCTCATCTTCTTTCAAAGACTGCATTACCAATGTTGGCTCTTTAGCTAATTGGGTTGCTTTTATCAGCAGGAAGAGTTGCTCCTGGATTTGGTGTTGGGGCTCTTGAAGATCTTGATGTTGAAGATGAAGATGTGTATGCATCAGGTTATATCTTTTCCTTTTGGCTGTAAATCCAATCCAATTATTATAAATACACAAATACCGGTCAGTTCCTTTTGTTTATATGTACAAGTACCAGTCAATCAGTTAGCAGTATGGATTACAGATATTCCTGTTGTTCCTTCTTTAGTTCTTCTCTTATCAGGACAACACCATAGTTTTCCCCTGTGTCTTTTTTTTCGTTCACGGCAGAAATTTTGGTGCTGTGTTATGCTTAGACCAATCACCACCACTAAGTTTATTCTCATTGACTGGCACGGGGAAGTGGGGAGGCAGTAGCGGGGTTGGTGAGCAGAAAGTATGGAATAGGATAATTGAGGCATAATGAATTTGAAATTTATATGTTGTCAATATGGGATTCTGTTTGTGCAAAATGCACAAGCAAATTCTATGAAAGTCCATTCATAGGAGCAATTTGTTCCCCTTTTTGGAGCTCAAGTTTGGTTTGTGTTTGCAGAGAACATCTTCACTACTTGCACTTTTCAAGAAAGTAGTAGTCCCCTTAAATTAGAGGTTACAGCTTCATTTTGCCATCATATGAGAGAAGGAAATGCTAGTGTCTTTGAATACTAGATGGACATGTAGTCAATCTTAAACTCTAAAGTATGTTCTTGCTTAGCTTTGGTGCGATAAAGCTACTCACATTTGTTTTAGAGTTGGATGCTATGGTTGACTTTCTTAGTTCTTTACCTACACTATAAAGTTCCCTTTTTATGTACTTTGCTTCGACATTTTCTTAACGTTGGGATCCGTTGTCTCCTCATTAATTATCAAAAACTTCATTTGACCATCCTGGATCACCAGTATTTTTGTTCCTTCTCTCAAGTATACTTTTCATGAATAAAGTTCCCTTTTTATGTACTCTGCCTCGACATATTCTTAACGTTGGGATCCGTTGTCTCCTTATTATTTATCAAAAACTTCATATGACCATGCTGGATCACCAGTATTTTTGTTCCTTCTCTCAAGTATACCTTTCATGAATAAAGTTCCGTGTTGTCCTATTAAATGCTCCTTTGATTCAGTTTGAGGTTAGACAATTGCAGAATATGAGAGTTCTTCTTTTCTTCTAATTTTTGTTGCTCTTGTAACCTTGCATTGCCCCCTTCCAGCTGTTATTGGTGTGGAGGTAGGGGGAATAACAGTTCTGCATGAAAGTTTCTTATCTTGACTAGTATTTCTCACCAGGTTATGACTTTGAAGAGACTTATGTTGAAGAAGTTGAAGAGCCTTCAAGACCAAAGGCGGAGAATCTGAAAATGTTGGACAGGAAGGCACATGATGTTCTACCTGGTTTTAGTGCTGCTTCAAAATCCGACTATCAGCTGGAAAGGTATTCTCATGACACTAATTCTTTTACTGAAAGTAACACAAGCTGTTGGTAGATCTTTTCCATTTTTCACCATATGCTTTTGTCACTGCACCTGCTTTAGAGCAATGAAGTCTGGTAAATAAAAAACCATATGTGGCCTAGGTATAGAAGTCTATAGCTACAACCCCTGTTTTCTGTCTGGATTTGTCAATTCTAGCACTAGACCATGCAGATAAACAAGTCCTGAGGGAGGAATGCATTAAACAGGGATGTTGAGCAGAAAACTGAAGATGTGCTACAAGTCTCGAAAGTTGGCCATGACACCACGGCAGGCCATAAAAAAAAAGTGTCTTGGTAGTTCCATTATGGATGAGGATGCCTTTTATTTTTTTTATAAGGGATGAAGATGCATGCTCTGAATTAGAACCCCGCCTATTTGATGAAAATGAGACTTCTCTAGAATGCTTTGTACGTACACCCAAGGGTGTGACCTATTAATCAATGATGCGACGAAACCTTGGAGACCATGGTTCAATCTCAGCGAAAGTGATTTCTTCCCATTTGCCTAAGCGTTAGTGGACAAAGTTGCTAGTATTTGCATTAGTAGCTGGTGGAATAGTCGAGGTATGCTCAAGCTGGCCAAACGCCACCATTATTTTTAAAAAAAGGGAGAATGTTTTGTACACCTTTCATTGGATGTAATTGAGCTAATCAAACCTAAGGTGCATTTTTAAGATGAGAGACCTGTAAGCATGGTAAAGGCCAGATGTTTATATGTCAGAAATGTAGGAATCCTTGCTGCTTCAGCACCAAAAGACAGTATTGCCTAGAGGGGAAGTTATAATTCACTGATAAGATAAATCTTTATAAAATTCCTAACACCCTTTTGGTTTTTCCACAAATGTCTTTTGGCTCTACGATAAGGGTCATCAAGGATTTGATGAATGCTTCTCCTTAGCTGCATCTACTTTAGAACTGCCATTTTTCTAGATGTGATCAAGGAATTATGAGGTAACTAGTACGTGCTTCTACTGCATGTAGAATAAAGTTTGTTTCGTGTGTTCTAGAAATTGGTTCTTTTTAGGTGTATGGTTGTATATGATAAAAACATTAACTTTGATTTCATTTTCACTCTAACTCAATTTATTCTACTATGTTAACAGATTCGATTCTCCAGTGATACCACAGAATTTTGTTCCCCATCATAAGTTTGCAGCTCCCCTTGAATCTGATAGCAAAGCTCCTAGTCTTCCTCCTCCTGTTGTTCCTCCCCCGGAGGATAATAATCTTAGAATATTGATTGAAGGGTTGGCAACATTAGTAGCTCGTTCTGGTAAATTACTTGAGGATCTTTCCAGAGAAAAAAATCAGTTCAACCCTCTATTTGGTTTCCTGAATGGAGGAAAAGGTCATGAATATTACTCAAGGAAACTTTGGGAGGAGAGACATAAACGTAATGATCAAGGCAAACAACAGTGGGATACAAAAATGTCTCAGAAAGTGCAGAAGATGACAGCAGAAAGCCGTGGCCAGATTTTAGGGGAGAAGCCTATTGAAAGAAGCTTGAGAGCTGCAAATTCCTCTGGTATATCTGCTGATGCAATCAATTTAACGTCCAATCTTTCAGATACATTCACCAAACCTGTGTCAATTGTAAGTAGTTTAGTACTCAGTAACTTTAAGTCGAGCTTGATATTCATTTTAGGCTGAATAAATTTTAGGATGTATCATGTGCTAAGTTGGCACCTCGTTAAGTCAACTTTGGTAGGGGTTAGTCCTGGTAGTGTCTTACTGCTTGATGTTTCTGGTGTTCATGAATGGGAGCCAGTTCTTTTTTTCCTTTTGGGCTTTAATTGTTTGGCTCAATTTTTAGTACCAAAATTGGCCACTCTTTCTCCTAGTTGAAAGTTTTCTTGTTCTTATATCGAGCTGTGTTCAGATTTGGTGCTGAGTAACTAGCTAATTAGTGTTTAAGGTCTTAAAAATGCTTTAGAGGTTAGAAAGGTATACTTTAATTAGTTTTTGCCATCATATGTTGCAATTTGTTTTTGGTCTTTGTTGATTCTGAACTTCTGTCTCCAGAATGAACTTCTTGAATCTGCAAAACCTTTTCAAGATGATCCTGCTAAGCAGGAAAGGTTTGAGCAGTTTCTGAAGGAGAAATATCATGGTGGTCTTCGCCCTAAAGACGGTAGTGGAGCAAGTAATATGTCTGAAGCTGCCCGTGCTCGCGAAAGATTAGAATTTGAGTCTGTAGCTGAGACGATAAATAAAGGAAACCATGGAAAAGAAAGTGTTCCACCTAGTGAGTTGTTCTCAAGTACGTTAGCTACTGCAGGATTGCAATTCACTTCTGGAGCAGCAGAGGTATGTACATTATCCAACTCCTGAGTGAACATTCATAAGTTGGCAGTTTCGTCCTGTTTTCTAACTGCTGTTTTGCAGCTAGCTAAATTTGGTCAAGATGATGGCTTAGCGGCAACAAGTATGTACCCAAAACGGGAGGAGTTTCAGTGGAGACCTTCATCTATTCTGTGCAAGCGCTTTGATCTTATTGACCCTTATATGGGCAAGGTACCAACAAGTACTGTATATTTCATGATTGTTATGTGTCAATCTGCCAAATCATACTTCTATATTTCTATCAAACTCAAGCCTTCTACTATCTCGTGGAGAAGTTGCAGCTGTTGAAGTCATTGACTTCTTGTTTTTATGAGAATTCAGTTGGGCTTCTGTTAATTGAAAGGACAGTTGAGAGAGATGTGATTGTGAGCAGGTTTCTCTCTCTTTTTTTTTTTTTTTTTAAATGTCATTGTAATAGACATTCTAGAATGTAGGAATTTTCTAATTTCTTCTCTAAGTGATCCAAACAGTATTAGGTTAGTCACTGGAATTTAACGAACTGAATGAATTTAGGCTTTATATTATGATATACCTCTGTACTTAATAAATCTAGGAAAATGAAGGTGTCTCCTCGTTCTCCCTAGAAAGTTGCTTCCTAGTAAAATCATTCCCTTTGATGGATCCGGTAAGAAACAAGGAAGTCATATATTTTCCACAGGAAATTTACCTTGTAACCTTTTTCCTAAAACTTATTCTTCTTCTTCCAAAATGCCTTATTTCTATATTTGCTTTCAGTACCTCTTAATTGCTTTCTTCTATGGGATCTGATTTTAGGCTTTGACATGGCATTCTTTCACCGAGAATGATGAGAAAGTGATGGGAAATACACGATTACACTGAAATTTTCATCTAAGACGTCAAAATAGAAATACACTATAATAATCCTTTGTCATCAGGCACTGCTACCTCTTACCACCTGACCTCCACAGCGTACATCCCGACTGTCACTGTCCTGCTCCAACTTGAATTGGATGGCACGTACTGCTGAAAAATACCATAACTTAGATCCAAAGGGTACCTTTACAAAAGTTAGAAATTGCCATTTTATTGAATGCATCATCTGATTTTTTTTCTGGGGGGAAGAGAAGAGCTCTAGGTCAAGCCTCTTATTCTATTGGGTCTACCCGTCGGACGGGTAGCAAGAAAGAAGTCTCATTGTTCGTCGAAAGTATAGTAAACTGTCAGATGTTAACACACAATTCAACGAAATAGCATGTACCTAGATTTGTTGATCCAGGATAAATCCAAGACTTATTCAATTGGGGGTGGGGGGGATAGGGATGAGGGGGGCCTTAGCTATTAGAATCAAATTTTCTACTGCGGCTGCTAGATGCTTCAGAGATACAAGCAATATCAGTCACATTTTCTGCTTAGTGATGATTCACACTCCAAAGGATTGTTGAATCATGTTATAAGCAGCAGCAGACATGAGATGTTACACTTTTTCTATATTTGTGTCATATTTATGCTTCAAATTTATCACTTTTTCTTGTCTATGGTGATCTACTTTGCCAGATTGAAAGGAATGGCACAAGATCCTCCTTCAAAAACCATGACAATTTGGTTCTTAGTTGGTTAGAAGGGAGAAAGAGAACACATAAGGGCAGGCAAGTTTGCACCGGGTGATTTGGAATGATGGAGATCGATGGGTGGTGTCAACCTTGAAGGTTGGATCTTAAGATGATGTGCTTGAGGGACGGAGAGAGATTTGGTTGGATTGTGGGTGGTTGGGGGTTACAGGTGTGTTGCAGAATGTTAGTAGAGTGCAATTCAAACATAGTTGGGGATGACCAATAGAAATGGTTCTATTGGAATCAGCAGCCATCCAGTCTGTCATTATGATACATTTCAGCATGTCTAACTTGTCACCTTCTTTGCATGCAAGCTGGCTAGTGCCCAATGGGTTTTCAAAGTTCTCCTTTTTCTCTCTTGAGTTTTCAGGCTTTTAGTATGAAATCGAAGGCTGAGGCGAAGAATGAGTGACAAAGTGTTGCCTGTTGAAGTATGTGAATTTCTCCAACAATCAACTGCACCACTAACACTTTCTTAGCTCTCCTTGCAGATGCTTTTTGACTGTAGAGTTTTAACAGGGAAGAGTAAAATTTTAGAGCCAACGTTTGAAGTGGCACCAGGGGACTAGGTTAGGGAAGGAGATATCATCACCATTGTAAATCTTAAAACAGTTTTAAGGGAGAGAATATGGTAACAAAAAATCAGTAATATGAGTAATCAGTAATATGAGTGACACAACAACAACATACCTAGTGAAATCTCACACGTGGGGTTTGGGTGGGTAGAATGTGTGCAGACTTTACCAATACCTCATGGAGGTAGAGAGGTTGTTGCCGAAAGACCCTCATACAAAGAAGGAGACAATGAAGAAAATAAAGCAAGCAACAACAAAATAGTGCGTAATGGAAACACACTAAACAACATACTAATTATTGTAAACAATAATAAACACTGAGAAATATCAAAAACCTGAACTACAATAATACAACTAGTACAATTAGGTAATGTGAGTGAAAATTAAATAGAAAAGAGTTGTTTAGGGGGGGGGGGGGGGGGGGGGGAGTGAAGGAACAAGAGTATACCCTGACAGGCAACAAATCAGGAAATTTTGGAATTTCATGGTTTTCTAGAACCTTGAGATGTTAGTTTCGAATTCTCTTGACGCTTGTTTGTCACTTAGCTTGGGTTAGCTCTTCTGCTAGAGTGTTAAGCATTGGTGTAGAATGTAAGATGTGTTGAGTTCTTAAGCTAGTTATTGTCCTGTTAGTAATTGTCTCATGTGGTGTAAAAAATCTATGATTTTGGTAGAAACATAAGTAGCTTTTGTCTACCAGTCAAAGTTTCTGTTCAGTTTTGTTATGCATGTTTCTTCTAGTGAATTGTGACTGGCAGCAGCGTTAGTCCTATTTTAAGTGAATTATTTGGCAGGACGATGCCTTTTTCCTATGACAATTTAGACAGGACTCTGCCTGTTTTCTCTTGGACCGTTCTGGCAGCATGATGCCTCTCTTTAGCCTGTAGTCCTGCCATTCTTTTGGAGACTCTTCCTGCCTTTGTCTGACAAGTTTTCTGTATGGCCAATTTACTATTCTCTCAAGTGTTTTAACATTGTTGCTGTGGTTGAATAAGCAGATTCAATTTTGGGATCCTTCCTTGAGTTTGAGTGGCCTGTTACATTGTTAATTGTTAGTATTAGTGTTTGCCGTTCTCTTTTTTTTTTTTGATAAGGTAAATAATTTGAAGGTCCCATATGCAAGTAGTATACCAAAATGTAGAGAAACCTAAACCACAATATGGTTCTCTACAAAAGTCACCCAATCATCTATATAAACAAGGGTCTGATGGGTATACCAAAAAAGAAATTAGAGACAGGAGGCTACTCCTCACATGTACAAATTATAAGCGTTAAGTTCTTAAATTGGATATTGTCCTTGTTACATGTAGTGTGTTTGACATATATAAATAGGTGAATCGTATTTATCTAATTTTGAAGTTCATTAATGCATTTCTTCAGTCATTTCTCTTTGCTTCTGTTGCATATCCGTCAAGGTTGACGGAGCTCCATCTTGTATTTATGCAGCCACCCCCAGCTCCACGCGCAAGGAGCAAATTGGACTCACTTATATATTTGCCTGAGTCTGTCAAAGCTCCAAAGCTTGAGGATGATGTTTCTGGGGGTAGAAGCCAATTCTCTCTCCAGGAAGGCCGTATAGAAAAAGGAAAAGAAATAGCTGACCAGGAAATTGAGGTTGATGCAGAACCTGAAAATATTGAAAGGCCTGTTGATTTGTACAAGGTATTTAGTCTCTTATTGTTCAAATCAGTTGTTAAAGTATACAGTTCCTTATTAGAGGAGAGTGTTCTTTCTAAGTTCTCTCTTATTTGGACCATCATGTTCATAATATAGATTTTGCTACTCCATCTTTGTTCTAATTGATCACTTTTTGTATCAAGGACAGCAATAGTATCTCTATTATGTGTTGCTTCTAATTGTTCTTTGTCACGTCAAGGTTACAAACTAGTGCATTAGATTACTTGGTATTTTTACGGAGGTCAAAAGGGACAGATGTGTGGAAGGTTTCTTCTCTCTTGGTATTTTTACGGAGGTCAAAAGGGATAGATATGTGGAAGGTTTCTTCTCTTATTCTTTTTGGTTGATGTATAGATGGGGTGGGTTATTTCCTTCCCTATTTGTAGTTCATGGATGGGTGCAGTGGCAGTGGTTTGTTACTTTCTGATTTTCCATTTTTCCATGGAATTCCTCCCTGTTTTTATGTATCAATTTGGATAACCTCATTACCTGAGTTAGTGTTAGGGTTAGTTGGTTTAGTTTCTTAGTGCCTCACCTGAGAGGCCATCACACCACCTATTGAGGGATAGTTTTTATTGATGTTAACTATTTGAAAAAGTAGTTGAATATGCAACTGTATTAGTGTTGTTTCAAGGAGATAATTTTTTTCTTCACTTCTGTTTTCTTGTTCCCTGTTGTGGCAGTTGGATGGGTTTCTGCTGTTCGATAGATATTCTAAGAACAATCTGTTGATGAAAGAGTAGTATGAATTCATTTCTCTAATGTGCTATGCTTTATTTGCATAAAAGCTTACAACTTTTGTATTGGTTAATATTCATCTGTAGGCTATTTTCTCTGATGATTCGGATGATGAAGCGGAAACTAGCAATCAGGATGTCACAGAGGATTCACAAACGAAGGTTGAAGCTGTTAATACAACTTTAAATCGATTAATAGCTGGTGACTTTTTGGAGTCATTGGGTAAAGAACTAGGTTTGGAGGTTCCCACCGATATGCCTCTCCCAGATAACAAAACAAGTAATCCAGCTAAAAAGGACAATGTTTCGTTAGATGTGAGAGCAAAGAGCATTAACCAAGATCCGATATTGGCAGTAGGAAATAATAATCAGAACATCTCTCAACAAGGTATATTTTCTAGAGAAGGAACTGTGGATATGAACTCTCGGAAAAACGGTGGCAGAGGAACTGAAACTGAAAGCTACAGGAATGGTATTGATAAGAATAAGTTTGAAGCGGAAGGTAGAATACATGCAAAAGCAAAAGGAGATCAGTACCGAAATAAGAACAGCAGTTCATCAGAGAATGAAACCGATAGCAAGCGAAAGCGGCCTCACAGAAGCAGCAGTCTAGATGCTTCTTCTGATTCATCCGAGGGTTACAAAGACCGTCGTTCAAGGTCAAGGAAGAAAAAATCATCTCAGGAGAAGAGTAGTAGTAGTAAAAGGCACTCAAAGCACCATAAGCATAGAAGGAGAGACTCACGAAGTCCTAGTAGACATTCCCGTCATGGTTCAGAAAAAGACCACAGAGAAGCCAAGAGAGAGAAGCGTAAATACAAGGACTGAAACATTTCTAATACATGACCTATTTGAAATGGATCTAAGGAGTTACTTGAAACTACTGCTGATTGAATATCTATGATGTCTCAGATAAATGGTTAGTTACTGCTGGAACAGTTCATGCTTCTTGGTTTTACTACTATAGTGCCCTTTTGAGTGCTATGCGTAGAGCTCTTTCTCTTTGGTCAATCTATGGGTGCAAGAGGCTGGATTCTGAAGTTCTCACTAGGAACATCCTTTTGACTTGCAAGATATGATATTGGTTCGGTCTGTTTTCCAGCTTATTCCACTGATCAAGCTTTTGATTGTAGCAGTTGGATAATGGTATGGCTGGTCTTATTTTTGTTTCATGCTTTACGTTAAAAAAATATTTTATGTCGAAGCATTCCAGCTAATTTCTTTATGAGGTCTTGGGAATTTGTTATGTATGTTTGTATGTGATTCCCTATTTAATACACGATTTAAGATTGGTTTATCTGTTCATTTTTTCAATACTCCTTTTCCTTTAAGGAAATCCCGCACTGGAAATATCAAATGTATGTGATTTTCCTTTATGCAATTTGAAGTTTAGATTGTTTAGCTGATGCCTGCATTTTCTATCCTTTTAAATGAAAAGAGCCTTTGGAATGATGATTATGGAGTAATCCATCTGATTTCCAACTTGATGCGTTACAAGAAAGTACAATGATTTTTTTTTTTTTGACTAAATAGGCAATAAGATAGTATAATGATTGACCTTAGGCTGGAGTCTATAACATGACAACCTGTTATCATTTTCTAATAATTTATCTCACCTGCTGTGATTGTATACTCCTATTGGTGGGTAATGAACTGTGAAACTGACTTGATTATTTTAATTGGAAAGCCTTGGTGGGGTTTCCAGTAATCGGAAGTTAGTCACCAAATTTTGTATCTTATATTTGCGTTAGCAAGATGATGAAGATTGAAGTAATCGGAGTCCGAAGATGATCCCCTGTTGCCCTGTGAATTGGATAAGCTGACTGCTCTACGCAGGAAGTTTTGTGAAATTTGAGGGAAAGGAAAACAAAGTCTAAAATATACATTGATATGCAGAAAATTATGATATTTGTACAGCTGAGCTGATTGATTGATAAAAATAATGGAGTAATGAACAAATCGACCTTAGTTCATAAGACTATAAAATAGGAACTCCAAGAAATTCTGCGGCAGACCTAGCCATTACAGTTGCAAATTCATTAAAACTAATAACACCATCTCCATCAACATCAGCCTCTTTGATCATCTCAGTTAGTTCGCGATACGACAATGGCTGACCCATTTTAGCCATTGATCCTGCCAGCTTCGCCAACGTAATGTACCCATTTCCATCGCGATCAAACGATCGAAAAACTTCCAAAAGCTGTCCCTTATTTACCAAAACTTCTCCATTAATAAAATCAGGCGTAATTGCATTGACAAGTTCATCAAATTCCACAGACCCATTTCCATTAGAATCCATTTTGGCTAATAGAACATGGATTTGGTCCCCATTGGGCTTTAACCCTAATGAACGTAATAGTGCGGCGAACTCTAAATGAGTAAGGCTACCATCATTGTCCATGTCAAATCTTGAAAATATATTCCTTAATTGGTCAAGTTGATCAACGTGAAGCCTTGACATTATTTGTTTTCCTCTTTTGTTCATTATTTTTGGGTTATATATATATATATATATATATATATGTTTTTGGTGTAATTATTACAAGAAACGAAAAAGAAAGGAGATAAAAATAGAAAGAGAGAAAAATTGGTGTCTCGGTGATGAGAGAACTGTTGAAGAGAGAGAGATGAGTCACTCTATAATTTGGATTTGGGAGGCTATATATGGGTTACATGTTATGATTTTTGTATTTTAAAAATTGGGAGTCGGTGGATTTTAATTTGTTTTTTAGAGTATGGAAGGATGGAGTTCAATGTATATCATTCAAGAATCAAGTGAACCTTCCTACGCCAAGTTCTTTGAATTTTCTTAAAGTCTATACGTGGTGGCCCATTTCACTATTGGACTTAATCTTGTGCTCCTACTTCACCTTATTTTAATTATAAATAATTGTCTTTATAAAAAAATTGTTTATACTTAAATGAGTTAACAAACGGATCGATTAATTTGGATGTGTGTTATGTGTTCGTATCAGATTATGTCCACAATAACTTTGATCAAAGGGTTAATCGTTGTGTATTTATCGATTATGACAAACAAAAGAAATGATGAGTGTGTTATAATTCTACCATTAATATGATATGTATGTGTTAGAGAAAAATCTTATGAAATACTGGATCCTACGGAACTCCAGACACATTTGTTGAAAGAAAAAAATTCAAGAAGCAACACAACAGCCTAATCCGATTGAAATGTCCAAAAACTAAGTATATAAATATAATATTAGCAAAGGTGGTGAATATAAAAAAGATTATTCGCTGTCGTCAGGGGCGGAGCTAAGTGGGGTTCGGATCAATTCAATAGCTTTTTTTAGACGTTGTATTCGTATTAGAAAATTATATATATATATATAAACTTGTGAAACTCCTAACAAAACTAATTGATGGCTTAGTGGTAAGGAACTAAGGAAGAGTTTGTGGAAATACTTTTGAGAAAATGGTCTAAAAACCTCCAATCTATATCCGAAATCCCAACTATACACTTATATTTGAAATCCCAACTACACACTTATATGAAATGGGAGTCCTATCACCCCGTAAACTATTTTAAAGCAAAATTATTTGCTCTCTAAATGCCGAGGAGACAAAGAAGGTGTAGTTCACTCTCTTAAGACAAAAAACTAATTAAAACTTTAATATTTTCCTTATTTTATTATTTTTTGCTTTTTTTTAAAAAAAATTTATGTTTCCTTTTATTTATTTGTTACTTTTTATGTCTTCATTCATCTTTCTCTTTAAGAGACCGGCAACAACACTGACGGTGATGGCTTCTTTGATCCACCAGGTGAGCTTGACTCCTCCACTACCAGGTCTCCGCCCCCATAGTTCTTCCATCATTAAGACTCCCTCTCATTTTCGGTTCACACACTTCTCACAGTAACTTTACTAAAAATCCACCGGAAATAATCTCTGTTATTCCACCATGTGAGAACAAACTCATCAACAATCAGTTCTGATGTAAACCACCACTTAAATCACTAATCACCACAAACTCTGTTTTCATAGCTCCAAGATAGGAGATGCAAATTCAAGCTCAAACACAAAATTTACAAGTCAAATGCATTTTTTTATCTTTTTTTTCAGATCTATAAAGATTTTGTCATCAAATCTACAATGAACATTATATTATACAAAATAATACTAAATCTTCATTTTTCAACATTCCTATTAAACTAACTATAGCTAAAAACTTAAGCCCTAAAATTGATAAAAAATAATTTTTGGACATTGAATTGTTAATGATTTTGGTTGAAAATTTCATCAATCAAAAGAGGAAAAACATAAGATTATACAAAAATAGAGAATTTCGAAGATTGAATTGAGAGGAATTTAGAAGAAAATCCATGAAAAATAATTTAGCATATGCTATGACTGTAGAATAAAGAAAAAGAATTATTTTTTTATATTAAAAAAGGTGAGGTGATGTGGCAGTAGCATATCACTCCTCAATACAAATCTGGGTATGACTTTCTAAGGGGAATATATTTCACTTTTAAAATGTGTAGTGGTAATAGGACACCGTAAAGTTGGAGTGTGTAGTTGAAATTTCGGATATAGAATGAGAGAGTTTTAAACCATTTTATCAATACTTTTCACCTTAAAGTTGTGGGTTTGAAGCCCCTAACAAAACTAATGCATGTTTCAATAAGGGAGAACATGAAAGCGTACCCTCGAAATTCTTCTTCCTCGGTCAGAGTCGTAGTAGGAAGCTACTTTCTAATGCATGTTTCAATAAAACTTTTTTTTGCTTTGCAATATTTAGATTGTAGTGGATTTTTACTTTTCAATAATACAATTCAAGTCGTGAGCCAACAATTTTCAACCTATGGACTTGTTTCTAGTTTGAGTTCACCTACAAAATAAAGATTTATTTATCAAGAATCAACCGTTTGACTAAGGACTCCCCACAACAAGTTTTATTCAAACAAGTGTTACCATTTTGATCAATTATTATTAATCGATGTTAATAGAGATTTAACAAATTAAAATTAATAATCTAAAGTAAAATTTCAATAAGAAAACTATGTTTTTTCTTACTTTTTGCTTATAGTGTAGTATCTTAAAATATTAAATCTTTTAACTTCATGTAATAATATTATTACTAATATTTATATTAATAGAATTAATTCAAATTAATAGGATGTTTACCATTTGTTTGTAATACAATGTATTGGATAATATTATAAAAAAAATTATTTATTAATATAAAAATGTGATTAGTTTGATTCAAAATTTTAAAATATTACTATCTAATATAAAAGTAAAGCCATTTTAAAACAACTTTAATGTTATTTTTTATTATTTAAACCAAAATAAAATCAGAAAATTCATTGTCAATTAAAATTGGAGTCTCAAATTTTTTGGACCTAAATCAAAGACCCTCGGCATCTATCTTATGGCAACGGGGCCGTGTGGGGCGGGGCGGGTTGAGGCTAACACGTAAAATTTTTAATTCGCTCTGTCTTGCTCCGAATAACATTTTTTTTTTCATTTTTAACCTGCTCCACCCCATCCTGCATAGACTCGTTCCACATGAACTTGCCCCACATACTTTTTTTGGGCAATTTATATAAATAATATATTATATAACATTATTTATGAATTATAACATATCTTTTACTCTTACACAAATTAACCTTACTTTTCTTACCATAAATAACATCAACAAACATGCACTATCACTGCGTCAGCTAGTCCTCTTCCGCATTCCTAACTTTAACTCGCCATGTTTTCGTTTTTTCGGAAAATGGTCATATTTGTCCTTGTACTTTTAGAAAAGTGACATATTTGCCCTTCGTCATACTTTTTTGATATATTTGCCCCTATCATCCAACTTTAAGTACATATTTACCCTTGAAATTAAGTCTCATGTTCCCACTTTAATTATACTATGTGGCATGCCTACGTGGATAAATATATTCAACCAAAATATTAATTATGCCCACTCATCTAACCCATCAAAACTAACTCTTAATTAATCATCACTCTTTCACGAGAAAATCACGAGACTTTGATAGAGGAAGAGATCATGGGCCGTATTTCAGATTATTTTTTAGCTGTATTTTAGCAAATTTAAAGCTCAGTTTCAGAATTTCTTGTAGAGACATTTCAACACAAAATGTAGCAGCAAGTTGGTCACATCAACATTAATTACACATTAATTTATTTTCATCGTCATTTGACCATTTTTAGCACAAATAACTAACCAGTAACCACACAAAATGCAGCAAAAATTAAGCACTGTTTTAAGTACCCAAACAACACTCTTTCAACACACTTTAGCACTATGTCGACACACACAAATAAAGTAGCAAATTAAGCACAACTTCTTGTGGATGAGATTCCATAACTCTCTATGTCAAAGTTTCGTGGTTCTCTTAGGAAATTGACAATGAAAAATATATAATTAGGAGTTGGATTTGATGGGTTGGATAGGTGGGTATAATTAATACTTTGGTTGCATATAATATCAAATTAAAAGGAAATATTAAGTGAAATAAATATGCATATCCACGTAGGCATGCTACATAGGATAATAAAAGTGGGGACATAAGATTTAACCGTCCAAGGGTGAATATGTACCTAAAGTTGGATGGTAGAGACAAATATATCAAAAAAATATGACGAATGACAAATATATGCATATCCACTAACTAACTGATATTATTTTTAATAAATAATATTCAAAATTAGAGCCGTCAAAACGGGCTTAGCCCATGGGGCCGGCCCAACTTAACCCGTTATTGGGGTAGAGTTGGAATATGATTTTTCAAGCTCATTTAAAACTAGGGTAACTTACAATAATTTTACTAGTATATAATCTAATTACTTAAATACACGCTTTGTTGTAATATTATGATTCTTATCAGATTTTGGTACGTCCAGATACATGTATCTCGGAATATATGGACTCAAAATTAGGTTAATTTGTTCTAGATAAACTCTATCTAAATAGATTTACATGTATCTAGGATACACAGACAAATTTTGTGCCCTCACCTCCCTCCCATCTTTCTTGTCACTCTCTTATCTCGCTCGCGTATCCGATATGTGAGATACATGCTAATTACACTAGATTTTTTGCTAGTGTTATTGAAACAACACTATTGTTTGTCATATTTGATTTGAAAATCTTCTCATTTTCTTGATGTTATAGAATTATAAGTTTGAAAGATAATAAATGAAAAAACGAAAAAGAAAAAAATTATTTAAACATCTGTGAAAAATAAATGGCCAATTCATTATTAAAATATAATACATTTTAAACATATCTTAAAAATAATAATTCTAATTATATTAAAATAATATTTGAAATTTAGATATAATACATTTTTAACATCGATAATAAGAGAAAAAAATATACCATAGTTATAATACATTTTGAATTTAATATTTTCCTATATATAAGATATTATAGACATGTTTCAATGCACATGATGAATATATAAGTAAAATATTTTTAATACAAATATATTATAAGATTCTATTATTCCTTAACCCATTTTCTCCAAACATCTCCCAAAGTGGAGTCATAGAGTGTGCTAATATTACAAAAAAAAAAAAAAAGAGTTCAGAGATGATAGAATCTTAGTTAAGCTGTGTCTCATGCCATTGAAAAAAGAAAAAGCCCAAATCAGGCAAAGATAAGTTGATAAACAGAACACAACCAGTATGGCCTAGGCTAAACATTCGGCATCAACATCAACATCAGGGTCAGGGGTGAACCAAATAGGAGCTGGTAGAATCCTCTGTATCTTGTCGAGATCAATGGGATAGTAACACGATGAAAAGCTTCCTTCTTTATAATCATAAATGCCCAAATCATGACCTCCACACTTGAGGTTCTCCCTGTGTCTGTAAGCCCAGGTCAGATCATCTGTAAAGTAAATAGAATTGGGCTTCAATTCAGGAAATTGGGTGGTTGAGAGAGCAAAACCGGTATTGGAGCCAATGAAGAATGCACGATTGCCAAGGCTACTGTTGTATTGAAGCTCCACGTGATCATGGTTTATGAAATCAAGCTTGAAAACATCAAAAGTTAGAGTCTGGTAAGGAAATTGATCATCCAAATTGTCCTCAGGTAATATTAGAGTTCCATCTTGATCAATGGCAGGGGCTATGTATCGTGTAACAATAAAAAGCTCGTGGCTTTGATGGTCGTATACCAGGTAATCAGAATCCCAACAATAGGATGACTTGCGCTCAAGTTCATCATCATCCACGAAAGAAATAGGCCATTCATTACAAACAATAGGCCATTCATTAGAAGAGGAGGTTCCAAAATGTTCATTGTGAATGTGAAACCTGTTGATTGGATCCGTATTGAGATCCCAAGCTTCAAGATCCCTAAAATGGGTGAGAGCGAAAAATATTTTTTTTTACTATGGTAAACAATTTGAGTGTATTGTCGTAAGGGTCCATCTAAGGGAATCCAGCAATTGGTATTATCTTCTATTCCGGGCCTCCTGCAGAAGGCGAGTAGATCAGAGTGGCCGTAAGTGACCATGGCTACACAGTCATCGTTCATAAGAGAGGAGGAAAGAACTATTTTTCTGATGATATATTTAGATAACTGTTGTGGAGTACGGGGTTGGGATTGGTAGTTAAGAAAGGTTTCAATCAAACCAGTTTGGGTGTTTCGAATGACGCCATTAACTTCAGGAAGAGTTTCAACAGATGGAAGCTTAATTTTTCTACCAGAGATTGGGTTAAATAGAAAAACTTGGCAGTCTTTTTGCTGTATATAAACGAGCCAACCTTGAAATAATGATCCCAAGTAATAGACGTCTCCGTCAGGCTCCTGCTGTTGCCTCTGCTCAAACTGTATGACATCGACTTCCGCCAGTCTGTAGAATTTGTAAACAGTGCCTTCCGGTGGCAGCATCAACCAAGGAATCACCAATTTTCTTTGTCTAGAAATATCAATGGCGTCCATTGCCACAGAATCGGCTCCAACTTTACTAACTTCAACAACAATTCAAAATTACAACTCAATACTCACACTTAGAACACAATGTATTTTCTGTCTGCAGAAATAACTAGTAATATCCGTGTGTATTTTCTGTCTACCGAAATAAATAGTAATATCCCTATTTATAAAGGTAAAAATCAAATTAAACTAGCACTAGATATCACTCTAACTAACAAATTCTAATTAAATATAAATAAGTAATTATCATAAATAACAAAGGAATCTTAATAAACTTAGGATTCCTACTCCAACTTTGAATTATTATTTCTAACAAGCACTAATTCTAAAACGAAACAACGCTGCTCTGCTTTGCTGGAAAAATCCTCTCAATTTGTTATTGCAATCTTCTCTTCTTTCACTTTGTCCTTTTGATAGAGGTGGATTAAACCTTAGTAGAATCCTACAAGGAAAAAATTATTTTTTCTCACAAAAATAATCCTTTTCCTCATAGGATTTGTTCGTCTTTCCTTTTCCGCATAGAAGTCGTTTGCAGTTTTTCGTCTCCTTATTTGACTTGGATTTCTACTTAAAACACGTTTTCCTATTTCATATTTGTATATGTGAACTTTTCCCGCCTTTTTATGTCTGGTTCATGCCTGTGAACCTGATTCATATTGTCATCATCAAAAGTTATTTCAGAGTATTGTCCAAGTCATCAATTGACATCGGAAGGGAATACATCAGAAGAAGAAATAACCCAAACGATTATTTCTAGCCGCCCAGCCCTTGTCTACCCACCAAAACCTTTTAGGTTTCAAAATATTGATATCCAAAACCTTCAGGTTTCCCCTTCTCGTGTGTGTCTAATAATCTCAAAAAATAATCGTGGACCATTAAATTATCAAAAAAAATATTGTATATTAACTTGAAATTATTGCATGAATTCGTATACTTTCAAAATTCTGAATCCGCATATTCTTAATATCATATTAGTTGATCATTCTCACTTTTGAATAACAAATAACATTGAGTAGCAACTAGCAACTTATAATATTTATCAATTGCTTCAAAACAGAACAACAACTTACAAATGACTCTTGCTTCTAAACTAGCACATGTAGCAAAGATCGACATTTACACAAATAACCATATTATAGTAGTAGCAAATATTACTCCAAATCAATGCCGTCCTCAAAGACTTGTTAATTCATCAAACAACATCTTGCCCCTTACCCTCATTATTAGTACTTTCACCATAATTCGTACTGCCCCAGCATAATTTGCCCCTCAGCCCCCCAAAGCTACAATCTCTCTGTTTAATGCTATGCAACGGCGTTGCACGCTCCTGATTCCTACAATACCTTCCCACTAAACACGAAAGAATCGCGAGAATGGTTAACACAGAGATGACAGCGAAAAATGGCCCAATAGATCCCGAAGAATGCCAAGCGCTGTTTGGCACTGCTTCAGGGTACGGTACTGATTGTTGAGGTTGTTGTTCGTTAGGCCAAATTGTTGAATCCGTGTTTGCCATTTCTTCGTTGTGTATATATGTGTGTTTGTTTGTTCATTCACAAACAACATATAAATATATATATATATATATATATATATATTTCATTAATTCGATCTTTTTACAAAAGCAGAGAGACAAATTAAAAGGTATAACTGAGAGGTGTTGTGCTTTTAAATGCGGCTTTAAAGAACCAGAGTGGGATTACAACATGGAAAGGCAAATGGAATTCAGAAATCTTACGCAGATTATCTCAGACTTTTTTTTTAAATAACCGTGGTGTCCTAATCAATTTATGCATGTCTCGATTAATATCACGAGATATTTATCATACACTTTTACCAGGTAATTGTATTTGTCAATGCTAACACAAATGAGAAGAAATGACCAAATATTTTTGTGTCTACTGAAATTTAAAAATAAGATCTCATAGTTCTCTATTCAGTTAATTGATACTATTATTCCAACTTTTTGCATGTAATTTCATATTTCTGCATGTGCTTATCTGAAATGGATATTTGACTTTTTAACACATAAAAAAACATAAAATGTCAGTCCCATGTGGCTACACTTTGCTCTTTTTCCTTTTCCAGAATAATCTTCTTTGCTAAGGCATAGGCCATGTGACTATATATTAGTCAAATAAGCTAAGTAATTTCAAATTATCCATCATAGTTTCTAAGAAATTTAATTCATAACAGGTACTAATCAACTATAACACGTTACACTCTTAGGGGTCGTTTGGTTTGAATTCAAGTTATGATGGAATTAATTATGATGAAATTAGTTATGATGAAATAAATTATGATGAGATTATTTTTTATTAAGTGTTTGATTGATTGTATTCAAAATAATAAATTTTAAGAACAATTTATTTGTTTACAAAAATGCCCTTCATGAATGTAAAAAGTGATATAACAAAAGGGTTGAAAGAGACATTTTTGTCATTTACCTATTTTATCCCAGGATAAGTTATCCCGGAATTACTATACCACCCAAGGGGAGGGATAACTTATCTCGATACTAATTATTAATCCTGGGATAAGTTATTCCGAACTTGCCAACCAAACTTAGGGGTCGTTTGGTGTGAAGGATAATACCAAACAACAAATTAAGTGCTACTATAATTAAATCCCAGGGACTATTTGGTATTATCCTTCACACCAAACAACCCCTAAGTTTATTTCAAATTACCATTACTAGGCTTGTTATATGTAAAGATTTATCTATTATTATAAGTCAATTTAATTTGATGATATAAAAATTCTTTATACTATGAGTATGTGTATAAAAGTTAAAGTTGATATTTAATTATTATGAACCTTTCTGTGTGTTGTTATTCCATTAACTCTTCGTACCTAAGTTAGTTAAATATATTCAGAACATTTAATTTAAAATATATATAGGCCACCATGATCAAGTATTATCCTTATTTTTTCCCTATCTTTTTTCTTCCCTTTTTAAATGTACGTTGGGAAATTAGATGTAGTAGAGAATTGAATGATTGTTTCGATATATATTAATTTGTAGACTTGAGGGCTTGATATTTTGGTGAAGAATTATAATGGTGAGAGGAAAAGAGATGCTGTCTATATGTCCAAAATTGAACGTTTGGTGAGCTTAGTTAATGCTAGGTTCTACCTTATCCTATAGTTTTAGTTCATCTTCAAATAGAAGTTCTCTGGTCCATCTCAAGTGATATACTTTGACACGTTTCTTGAGAAAAATATTTAAGGATATAAATTAAGTGTTATTTTTTATTATTAGTCTTTTGATTATTTTCAAACTATGATCTACTTGAATATATAAAGTAGTTAGTAACCTTACTAAATGAAGTGAAATATGAGAAAAAGTTTCAACAATTTTCTTAAATTTTGAATAATTCATTTATTTTAAACTATTAAAAATGTTTCAACAATTCACTTAATATGGACTAGCACTACAATAAAAATAACTTTTAGCGGCAATAAATAGACACATTAATAAAAAGTGCTAAAATTTTACTGGCACTAGTTAAGTGTCGTAAGATCCAGTTTCGCTAAAGGCTTTTGGGACATATACAAAGAGTGTTAATTGCCGCTAAAATTATATACTTAGCGGCAATTAAGCTATTATCATTAATTAATTGCTGCTAAAAATCATTTTTGATATAGTATAGACTGTAGAGGGAATACTAATAATTGAGTATTCACCTCGCACAAACATTTTCAAATGAGATCCAAATTGATCCTTATTAGTTACTCTATTATTCCCGATCCATCCAAAAATAAGTGTCCCCTTAGTAAAGAAAAATTGTCCCAAAAAAACTTTCATTTTTAAAATTCAAGACAAAAATTAATATATTTTTCAACTATACCTTTTCACTCCATTTTTTAAATAATGCTCAATTTTCAAGAAATAATTATTAAATAAAAATAATTTAACAGATTATACATTGTATTTATTGATTTCTTAATTGACATAATTTACGCTATGATAACACATATTTGAATTGAGTCAAAGTTTTGTGTTAGTTATGGTTTGCATATATGAGTCTAGAACGACAAATGAGTATGATCAAGTATCAACTCATCAAAACTTGAAGGAGTCATCAAATGAGTTTGGACTGAATTTGTCAGCCCTATATGTAATTTTTTGGGACAATTGGGTGAGTTAGGTTGAATTTGGGCAGTTTAAGATAAACACAGTTAAGACAAATATATGGTATTTATCCGCCTAAAAGTTATTTGGGTTGAAATGAATTGGATCGAAATGGACTAAAATAAGGATAAAATCCCGAGGGGAACTTACATAAAGTCCACTAGTTTAGGAGCTAATTACTTAAATATACTTTAGTTTGCAATATTACGTATTTTACCAAAATTTGGTGTCTCCAGATACATCCAAATACACGTATTTCGGAAACATGGGGTCAAAATTATTTATAGTTTGTTCGAGATACATTGTATCTAAGTGGATCGCATGTATCTGAGACACATAACAAATCTTGCTTGCCTCCCTCGCCTCTCTTCCATCTCGCTCGCCACTCTCTCATGTATCTGATATCCTAGATACATACAAATTAAATACGTGTATCTTGTGTGATTAGCATGAATCTAGAATACATACAAATCTTGCTTGCCTCCCTCCCAATCTCGCTCGCCTCTCTCACTATTTTTGTGTATCTAGTGGCAAAATATATGTATCTGAGTGTATTTTTCTCAATATATGGTAGGAAACTCTTAAGTAGTGGTAAAATACGTAATAGTTTGAAAGTATATGTAATAATAGTATATATGATATGATGTATGTCTAACTATATAAGTTTTCCTTTAAAACCCATATAATTTTAAATAAGTTTTATATTTTATTTGTTCTTATATTAAATATTTTATCTAACTTTATTTTTTTAAAATTATGACTATACAATAAATCAAATAAAAAAATTTTAAAAAATATATATTTTAATAGAATTTCTAATTTTCAGATATGACAAACATTAGGCGTCATTCATTTGGTTAAGCCTAATTGTACAGTTCGTGGCTGAAGGTAGGATAGTCAGGTCCTCAATTGTTGCAAAATATTAGTAGACTACTTGTATTGCTGTACAAAATGTCAAATTTCAAGGTCACTTTATTATTTTAATTTCTCACTCGATATTCAATATTCAATATTTATATTAAAATTTGACTAATTTAAATTCACAATCGCCTCACTCAAAAGATGGCACTCTTTACCAATCAATTCATGTCACAAGGCTGAGTTTCATAAGACAAAATGTATTAGTCACGCTATGCTTTAATTATTTTGTTATGGTTTGATGGTTAATTTCTCATATGATAATTATTAGCAGAGTGATAATTTGACAAATCAACTTCAAATTTAATTGATTAAACATGTATGATTTTCTTAATTATCCTTTGATATTCGAGTAAATCAATTTCATGTTTAATAAATTTATTAAGGGGTAGGTAAAGTTGATTCTCTATGGAAAGTTAGCACTTAGCATTCTGATGATTCCAATTCAAGATCAATGGTTGTGGATGATAAAATTCCGCCCATCTTATAATTTCACTCGACAGTTATTAAGATGTCTCCTTTTAATTATTGTTTTAGCTTTTTTTTCATGTTCATCAAGAAAAAAATAAATATAATATATAATTTATTAAGTTATCATTTTTATTAAATACTCACTTTTTTAATGTTAAAGACTTGAAGAATGTAGTTGAAAATAATTGTTGATCGTAATTTTGAATTTCTAAAGTAACAATTATTTTGAGCTAAAGCAATGATTAAAATAGGATGGCAGGAGCACATTATATTTGTCTCGATTATGTTACGCTTTTTTGTAACACCGTTGAGGTATTCCTTTTTTTTTTTATTTCCCACCAACATATTGTGCACTTATAAGTTGTATGTAATAACTTCATCTTCTTACTAATTTAGACAATGAATTCAGATACGTAGAGTATACCATAATTCTCATTTGGATAGATACTATGATATACTATTATTATTTAAATGTTTTTGAATTATTAATAGGAAATTAATTTTTTAATCAAACGTGCGAAGTTTTTTTTTATATACAAATACATTTGACTAAAGGATGTTAATTTATCTCATCATGTTCATTATTTAGAGATAGACTAGTTCACTTTTAGATAAATTCACAAGCATGATAGTGAACTTTGATGTATTTATGTTTTTTTTTAAAAATAGATATTATTCAGTATCATGGACAAATATCAAGCTTTAAACGTACTAGTTTTACAACTTCGATGACCAACAAATAAAATAAATGTAACTACATGTAAGAAACAAATACTCCATGCATGTATATTTTCAACATGATAGTTTGGCCACTTTATGACTAACAATAAGCTTTAGGTCCCTCTATGCATGTGTATATTTTCAACATTATAATTTGGCCACATTAATGACTAATAAATTATAAACATAATTATCTACCTAATATTCATGTATAACCATTTTATGTATGGAAATATGACTAATGACGGATCTTAAAATTCTGACAAATTTGA